TTGAATAAAAAACAACAACAACAAACCACACAATCACTTTTTGTGATCCTTTTCATCCAGGTTGTAACCTTCGATGCCGGAGGAGTGAGTGGACATCCGAATCACTGGTCCGTTTATGCCGCCGTCAGGTAAATGAAGGTTGCGCTGGGGAATTCTGGGAGTTGAAGTCCACCCGACTTAAAATGCCCGAGGTTGGGAAGCGCTGCTTCGAAAGATGCGGAAGTGCAATTCCCAGAGTTCCCCAGCTGACCCACGCAAGGAATTCTGGGAGCTGCAGTTCTGAAAGCGGCGTTTGAAGATGGGTGGTCGGGCAAATCTTTTTAAATAAATAATATAAACGCATCTTGCTGAAGCCGAAGGGGCACTGCTCTGCTCCGAGGACTCTGCCAGATCTTCATAACTGAGTCCAGGGAGTCCTCGGCTTACGACGATTTGTTTAGTGGCCGTTCGAAGTTACAACCGCCCTGAAAAAAGGGACTTTTTCACCCTTAACGACCGTCGTGGCATCTCTATGGTCACGTGATCAAAATCCAGGCACTCGGCAACTCATATTTATGACGGTCTCAGCATCCCACAGTCATGTGATCCCCTTTTGCGACCTTCTGACAAGCAAAATCAATGGGGGGGAACCAGATTCACTTAACGACCGAGTGACTCATTTAACAACCGCCGTGATTTGCTTGACAATCATGGTAAACTGGCTGTAAAATGGAGCTTGGCTCACTTAATAGCCAGCAGCAACAGAAATTGTGGTTTCCATTTTGGTCGTTAAATCGAGGACAACCACAGCGATTCACCTAACAACCGTGACAAAAACGGTTGTAAAAGGGGGGGAACTCTCTTCATAAAGGCCTCTCTTAGCAAGAGAGATCTGGGGTCGTAAGTCGGGGACCCCCTGTTGTTCTTTCTCAAAGTCCGTCTTTGGGCTGCAAAGCCACCTTGCCCATCCCTACATGGTGAGGCTTCCAGCGCTCAGAATTCGCACCTGGGACAGTTTCAAGTTCCGTGTTTATTGCCTAAATGTCTAGATTGCTTTTTTTTCTCCGGAAAAAGCTTGGGAGACCTCGTTAGTTCTCAACTACCTTGCTGCATAATAAAGCAATATTTTTTTTTCTATACTGTGTTTTTATGGCTTGTAAGCTGCCTAGAATCTCCGTGAGCGAGTAGGCGGCTATGTAAATGTTTTAACTAACTAACTAACTAACTAACTAACTAACTAACTAACTAACTAACTAACTAACTAACTAAACAGACAGACAGACAGACAGACAGACATCACAAATCTGTTTGCAGAAAGGAACTTTTGGGATTTCCCTGTTGGCACCTCATCCATGCAGCACGCGGGTGTTGTGTAACACAACACTTGGCAAAAGAGAAAAAAAAGTTTTGAAGAGGAGGCTGCCCCCTAGAGGTCTTCCAGATTGGCTTGCAATGTGCAGTTGTCCTTTTGTAAGGAGGGTTTGGCTGTGCCCTACACGCACACAAACACACATACACACACACACAGACATACACACATACAGACAAACAGTGGAACCACCTGCCTCCAGAAGTTGTGAATGCTCCAACACTGGAGGTTTTTAAGAAGAGACTGGACAGCCATTCGTCTGAAATGGTATAGGATAGGGGTCTTTCTGGGAGTTGAAATCCACAAGTCGTAAAAGGGCCAAGTTGGAAGACCCCTGCTTATGGACTTCAACTCCCAGAATTCCTCAGCCAGCGTGCCTGGCTAGGAATTCTGGGAGTTGAAGTCCACAAGTCATAAAAGGGCCAAGTTTGAAGACCCCTGGTATAGGGTTTCCTGCCTGAGCAGGGGGTTGGACTAGATGACCTCCAAGGTCCCTTCCAACTCTGTAACAACAACAACAACAACAACAACAACAATATTAATAATATTCAGGCTCAAGTTTTTTTTATGTCTAACCCTCCAACCAGGTGGATCTAAATCACTAGGAACAGCTTGCCTCCAGAAGTTGTGGGTGCTCCATCCCTGGAGATTTTCTGATTGTCTGGAATGGTGGAGGGTTGCAATAGTGGCGAATATCTGTCACTCTGGTTTAGGATGAGAGTGAAGGTTCCTTCTCCAAGCTTGTGGGTTGGTTCCCAAATATTTCATTACCAGGCTAGTGTTGAAAGAAAAATCTTCATCGTGGTTCAGTCCAAGCCGGGAATAAACGACATGGAGACTGCTTTAGAAAGAAGGTTGCAGTTTATTGAAGAGGAGAGCCAGACAGAAAGATGGCTTTGGAAGAAAAGAGAGACAGCACATGTAGGGAGTGGGTTTTTATACCCTCTGGAGCCTTTTGTTTGGAGTTGTTTCCTGTTCCTGTTTGAGGCTTTGTATTTCCTGTGTCATGTATTCTGACCTGGGTCTGGGTGTGCCCTTTGGCATCTGTGGGTTAATCCTATTATGTCCTGTCTTAGAGTTTGGGTGGGGTGTGTAGATTTTAGGTCTCTTCCTAAGCTTCTAGCTGGGGGGCTCCAACCTTCCTGAATGGATTATCACATCCACATTTCTACAGAGCTGGTTTCTGCTCTGGGGAGGGAGACTTGGGGCTATTAAGAAAACTAGGCATGCTTTTCTGCCTCTTTAAGATCCTTTGAGGAAATATATTTTCCTGTCCTTTTCATATTTCCTTCTCTGGGGGGCTGACTTCCCATCCTAGCTGACATCTTCAGCGCAGTATAGGGGGGTTCAGTGTCAGTGTTCATCTGTTTGTAAGGGCTTTGTGTGGTCAGTGGGACTTGTGAAGGTGAGGTCACGCCAGGTGAGGGTCTTGTGGTGGGTCTTGTGATGGGTGAGTCACCAGTGAGAGTCTTGGGATGGACCTTGCGATGGGGAGGGTACGTCGTGTCAATTAAAAACCAAGATCCACGGACACTGGATGGCAGTCAAACACCACGATGCCAAATCCTTAATCTCTACCCACACCGGCACCGAACGGCACCAGTTCTATTGGAGCAACGCAAGAATCATCGGCCAGGCTACCACCCACCATGCTTGTGAGTTCACGGAAGCCTGGCACTCCACAAGCCATTCCATCGACAAGAGACATCGACCGACAACCAGCCTACGAACCTCTCAGAATCCAAATCAACCACACAGCCAACCAGAGACAGCACTGACCCTCAACCATCCCGCGCAATCCCCCCAATCAGCACTGCACCTCCCAATGACCCTGATCTGATGTAACCTCCCCATCACAAGACCCATCACAAGCCTCTCACTGATGACTCACACCTGACCCATCATAAAACCCACCACAAGACCCATCACAAGACCCTGACTTGATGGGACCCTCACCTGGCCTGACCTCACCATCACACGAAGCCTTGATAAGCAGGACACTGACGTCCCTCCAAACTCCGCTGAAGATGTTAGCTAGCCTGGTAATGAAATGTTTGGAAACCAACCCACCAGCTCAGAGAACGAAGCTTCATTCCGATGGCATAGGATCTCCTGCTTGAGCAGGGGGTTGGACTAGAAGACCTCCAAGGTCCCTTTCTGCCCTATTACAGGTAGTCTTTGACTTACAACCACAATGGAGCGCAATGGTTTTTCATCGCCAAGCAAGACAGTCCAGCGAGTTTTGCCTCCATTTTCCGACCTTTCTTGCCACAGTTGTTAAGTGAATCCCTGCCGTTGCTAAGTTAGTGACACGGTTGTTAAGTGGATCTGGCTTCCCCGTTGACTTTGCTGATCCAGGGACACTGAAACCATCTGTCAAGCCGCCGGGGAAATCAGGAAACCATCATCATCATCAATACATGCTGGTTGTCAAATGACAGAATTTTGATCATGTGACCGTGTACATGCTGTGACGGTCATAAGTGTGAGGACCGGCCCTAAGTTACTTGTTTTTGGTGCTGTTGTAATTTTGATCGGTCGCTAAACAAGCAGTTGTAAGTTGAAGAGTACTTGTATATCTACTCACCTCTGTTCTGTTTCTTCTTCACAGGTCCTTGCACTCGGAGAGGAAAGTTCTAGAAGGTTGGTGTTTGTTCATAAACTGGACTAGAAGACCTCCAAGGCCTATTCTATTCTATTCTATTCTATTCTATTCTATTCTATTCTATTCTATATTCTATATTCTATATTCTATATTCTATATTCTATATTCTATATTCTATTCTATTCTATTCTATTCTATTCTATATTCTATTCTATTCTATTCTATTCTATTCTATATTCTATTCTAATATTATTCTATTCTATTCTATTCTGTACTATTCTATTCTATTCTGTTCTATTCTGTTCTGTTCTATTCTATTCTTTCATAATTCCATTCCATTCCATTCTCAATAAAGATTCTATTCTATTCTATTCTATTCTATTCTATTCTATTCTATTCTATTCTATTCTATTCTATTCTTTCATAATTCCATTCCATTCCATTCTATTCCATTCCATTCTCAATAAAGATTCTATTCTATTCTATTCTATTTTCTATTCTATTCTGTTCTGTTCTATTCTATTTTCTATTCTGTTCTATTCTGTTCTATTCCTGTTTTTATTCTATTCTGTTCTATTCCTGTTTTTATTCTATTCTATTCTATTCTATTCTATATTTTCTACTCTACTTTCTATTCTGTTCTGTTCTGTTTTATTCATTCTGAGCTTTGGCCTTCATGACTCCATCCTTGCAGATTCCAACTGGTTCAACTCCCAGAACTCCCTAGCCTGTATGTTGAAGTCCACCCCTCTTAAAGCAGGCTGGCTGGGGAATTCTGGGAGTGGAAGTCCACCCCTCTTAAAGTGTTTCCAAGATTGAGAAACACTATTCTAGGCAAACAATTCCACTACTCAGCTGCTCCCACCATTTGGAAATCCTTCTTGAGAATCAGCCAAAAGCTCCTTTCCTTTCAAAACATTCCCTTTGCTTGGGCCAGATGACCTTTGAGGTCCCTCCCAGCCTTACAATTCTTGTTCTTCTATGTACTCCCCCCAGCGTTAGCAGAAGACAGGCCCAACATCCTCCACATTAAAAAAAAAAAAAGCAAAAACCCTGTTAAGTATTTGCAATCTGCTTCGGATCTCCTGTTAACCTTCACTTCCGCAGACTAAACATGTCCTTGTATGTTCCTGATATGACTTGGTTTCCAATCCTCTTTATCAGTCTGGAAATTCCCAGCTGCTCCATCCCCAAGGACATGCTCAGGTCAGGCACAATTCTGCAAGGACGGCCTGATTCATAATTTTTTTTTTCTTTCTTAAATTTCAACCTCAAGCGTTAACATTCAAACGAAGCTCAAAGGGAAAGGAAGTAGTGAATCGCAGCTGAAGTGAAGCAAAACGTTATACAGAAAGGAAATTTATAATTCCTAGGTCAGGGATGTCCACCCTTCGCAACTTGAAGACTTGTGGATGAATGGCTGGTGGGGGAATTCTGGGAATTGGAGTCCACAAGTTGCCAAAATTGGCTACCCCAACCTGGAAGGGCGAAAAGTCTTTCTTCCCATTTTTAAAAAACAGCGCAGGGTTTTGTGGGAAGTCAACCCCCCCCCCCAGAGAAGGAAATATTAAAAGGGCAGAAAAATATATTTCCTCAAAGGATCTTAAAGAGGCAGAAAAGCAGGCCCAGTTTTTTCTTAATAGCCCCAAGTCTCCCTCCCCCAAGCAGAAACCAGCTCTGTAGAAATGCAGATGTGATAATCCATTCAGGAAGGTTGAAGCTAGAAGATTAAGAAGACAAAGACACCTAAAATCTCCCACCCAGACTCTAAGACAGGGCTTTTCAACCTTTTCACCCATTGTACCACTTTTAGGATACGGCAATATCCGAGTACCACCAGTTGCCTAGCAAGGTGCCAAAAACTTGATGACCAAAAAAAAAAAAGGAAAAAAGTGATAAAGTACAGGTAGTCCTCGACTTACAACAGTTCGCTTAGTGACTGTTCAAAGTTACAATGGCACTGAAAAAAGTGCCCCCCAAGCCACAGCCGAGCAAGACACCTGCCTGCCCACCCGGTGGCGCTCTTCCTCCTGTCTGAGGTTTTCATTGTTGTGAGCATTTCTGTTGAGGATTGGCAGTGGGGATGGGGTGGGGGGGTGTTTGGTTTTTATTCCCCCCCCCGTCTGCTGGGTGGTTGCAGCAGGTTTTGGTCACTTCACATGACCCTGGGACACTGTGACCGTCATAAATATGAATCGGTTGCCAAGCATCTGAATGTAAATCACAAGACCCTGGAGAGGCTGCAACATTCCAGCTGATTGGCGCTTCTTCTGGGCTCAGCAGAAGTGCCAGAATCAGCGCTGAGCTCCAGCTGGATCCTGGCACTGATCCTGGCGCTTCCGCTGAGCACTGCAGCTCCAGCCGTCTCTCGCTCAGGCTTGTGCGGTGCTGCCACCGGTTCAGCTCATTCCCCTCTTTACCACTTTTCTAGGATGGTCGCGTACCACCTGCCAGGTGCCAATGGACCACAGGTGGTACCCCTACCCCTGGTTGAAAAGCCCTGCTCTAAGACAGAACATAATAGGATTAACCTACAGATACCAAAGCGCACACTCAGACTCAGGTCAAAATTCATGCCACAGGAACAACTCCAAACCAAAGGCTCCAGAGGATATAAAAACCCACTCCCTACGTGTGCTCTCTCTCTCTTTTCTTCCAGAGCCATCTTCCTGTCTGGCTCCCCTCTCCAATAAACTGCACCCTTCTTTCTAAAGCAGTCGCCATCTTGTTTATTCCTGGCTTGGACTGAACCGTGATGACGACTTTTCCTTCAAGAGTTGCAAGGAGAAAAAAAAAAACACCCAGAAACGAAACCAGAGACGAAAATCAGCCTCCTCGTTTTGGGTGGCACCGTCCTTTGGCTTGTTCTGTTGCTGATAAGATGATTTACATTTTCCAGTAATTTTCAAGTGCCAGCAGGTCTCTCTGCTGGCTTTTAGCCAAGGGACAAAGTCTGCCTTCTCCATGAGGCTTTGTGGCTGTTGGAGAGAAATTGTTTTGCTGGGAGGTTTATCTCTGCGTTTCTTGTTTTTTTTTTAACCTTGGCAGTCTTACCCTTCAGTCGGGCTTACCGTCTGAGAAGGAGGATAGAATAGAGTATCTTTATTATCACTGTGTAACTCACAACGAAATTAAGTTGTGATTTAATTAATTTAAATTAATTTAAATGTAAATTAAATTAAGGAGGAAGTGTAAATTGTATAGTTTTATATATATATATATATAAATATGTATAAAATAGTACATATAAAATATACATATACATATAATAAAATAAATACATATACATATATAATAAAAATAGTACATATACATATAAAATATGTATAAAATAGTCTTAAAAATATGAGTCTCGGGTATATTCATATTCAAAATCAGAAAACACAGATCACCAAGACTAAAAAAAATATTTTTTATGCTGGCGAAAGCTAAGTTTTCAATAAATTTTTTAGTCTTGGTGATCTGTGTTTTCTGATTTTGAATATATATATTCACAATTGAACACAAAATGAACACAATGAACACAAATTAATGAGAAACGAAAGAAAGAAAGAAA